TACAACCACTCTGGTATCTATCATTTAGCCAACTGCATATCCACTGAACCACCCAAGGGTTAGGTCCTAGCTTCTACAACTTTTGTATTAGTTCATTATGTGGAACTGTATCAAATGCCTTGCTGAAATCAAGATATGTCCACAGCACCATCTTGGTCCAAAATGTTGGTAATATGGTCAAAAAATTAAATCAGAATAGTGTTAACATGATCTGCCCTCAGTAAAACCATGCTGCTTTGGGTCCAGCAAGTTGTGTATTTTTAAGTGATCAACGATCCTCCTTTCAGGAGTGACTCCCTTAACTTTAATACAACCGATGTTAAACTCTCTGGGCTATAAATGCCAGCTTCTACCTTGTTGCTCTTCCTGTGGGTAGGTACAATATTAGTAGTCCGCCAGTCATACAGAACTTCTGATAGAAGAGACTGATTAAAGATCCATTAATGGTCTAGCGACTATACCTCTAAGTTCTCTTAGAACTCCTGGATGAATACCATCAGGAACCATTGCCTTATTAAGTTTTACCTAAGCCAGTTCCTCTGCTACCTCTGTCTCCAGAAATGCTAAAAATAAATTGTCATTACTAGAATCAGTAGGATTCCCTTTCTTGTTGAATGCTAGTACAATGTATTTTCAAGAAGACTGAACAGAAGTAATTGTTTAAATGGTTTGCTACATCCAGGTCTACTTCAACAGAAGTGTGCCCAGTTTTTGATTTTTGTGATTCCTTTCTAGTTTTTTTCTTTTTATCACTAATGTACCTAAAAAAGGTTTTATCTCCTTTCTTAATAGATTTAGCAATTTCCTCTTCTTTCTGTGCTTTGGCAGCACTGATAATGTGTTTGGCCTCCGTTTTTTTTGTCTATTTTTATATTCTGCTCTGTCAGCTTTATACCTAGTGTTTCCTTGAATCTTCTATTTGATTTTTTTTTCTTTTACTATCCTTAACTCTTTAGTGAACCATATTGTTTTTTTTCTCAGTTATATTCTTACTAATTTGCCTGACATATAACCTAGTTGCCTTCAGGATAGTAGATTTTAACAGTGTCCACTGATTACTTACTCCTGCCATTTTATTCCAACCTTTCAATTCATGTACCCATTTCAGCAAAAAATTTGTTCTTTTGAAATCTAAAACTTGTGTTTATGATTTTTCAGTTTTGTTTTAATATCAAGCCAAAGACATGGGGATCACTAGAACCTAAATTTTCTCCCATCTCAACATCAGACAGTCGATCCCCAAATTACTAACGGGGTTATAACACTCCTTTACTTTATCCAAAATGAAGAAAAGAAATTCCTTAAGTGGTTGTAAAGGCTGAAGGTTGTTCTATGCATGAAGGTAAAAACCTTCGGTGTTCTGCTCCCTCCACAGCACTACCAATTCCCCCCCCCCCCCAATACTTATCTGAGCCCCATCTCGATCCAGCGCTATGCAGTGGCTCTCCCGGGTCACTCTCTCCTCATTGGGTGAGACACAAAGTGTTTTTAAACACTACTACAATCGCTCACTAATACACAGATTAGGCTTAAGTATTAAAGCAAAACGTGATTTATTGAATAGGTTCTATTAGTATAATATAATTGTCAGAATTGCAAATCATATTTAGATCATATTATTGCAAGAATAAAGCTTCAATACATCACCGGATATTGTAGCATCACCCGTTGCCCAACGACTGGGGGACTCAAACAATCGGCAAGGGGGAATCCGGGAAATCACCGCAAGGCACGTCTGCCGTATCTTCAATGAGTCCCAAATTCCCCTAGAATCCCCCGTCTTTTATATACATAATTTGGAATGTCAACGCGTGAGCGGCTCGTGCCATCACGCATATTTACCTATTTTGATGGAATGCTGGTGAATCAGCCAAATCTCTGGTTTAAAACTGGTTTAATGTACACTTCCAACTTGTTATTTTGAGCTCCAGTTAACCATCTAATGGTTATAATCATTAGCATTATGACAGTTGAGTGTCAATCACTTCTCATCCATACATCCTGTACACTCATGTTACATATGTATCACACACAGGAACAACCTCCTGCTGTCAATCACAGCCAGTGAGGAGGGGGCGGGGCTGAGCTGCGGTCTGTGTGTCCTGGGCGCACAGAGCAGGGCTTGGGTGCAAGTATGCACTAGTGCCCCCCAGAGCAAGCAGCTTGCTCTGGGGGCACTCAGCAGGGGGAGAGGCCAGGAGCTCTGGCAGGAGAACTGGGAAGAGAAGGATCGGGGCTGCTCTGTGCAAAACCATTACACAGAGCAGGTAAGTATGACATGTTTTTAAAAAAAAAATGAAAATAAAAGAGCCTTTAGTGTTTAGGTTCTACTTTAATAGATAGTCCTTTGTCTAAAACTGATCACGTGTCCTGCAATGTGATCCAAGAAAAGGATTTTACAAGTAAATCCATTTTGTTTTCCTATACAATCTATTGAAAGTAGCAAATAAGAAAAATTAAAAGAAAACAAAAGAAAACCTAGTTTGACTAGTTTTGTTTTTAAAACAGAAAAAAAATGTTTAATTAGATATTTGACTTGTTTGACACTAAAACTTATGAAAGTTATTACTTTTTTTTTTTTTGTGCATTTTCTGTATATATCACTAAGGAAATTTAAAGAACAAGCAAATAGAAACTAAGAAATAGGTTAACTGTTAATGGTTAAAATCAGCAGCAAAGGCGAAGGAGAAAAAGGGGGAGGAAGAAGTTGACTATGGTTAAATGAGGGTTATTAAGAGGTGAAATACAGCACAGTTTTTTACTAACACAGTTGCATTAAAGTTCAACTTTTGGCTCGAAATTGAAAATTGTCAGACAAGCGCAGCTCACTGCACAAATTGGACAATGCCGAATTTGATGAAACTCATGCGCATGTGCAAGAGTAAACATCCTCTCCACTTGAGATCTGGAAGCTAGCCAGCCAAAGGTGTCTGCAGTTGGCGCAGAGTTGTGGTGACAGCGCATTGCTGGATTCAAGGTAACTATAGTTGCGCTAAAGCAACTGCGGGTCAAAGTTAAATTCTTTGTTTGAACCAGAAAAAAAACAATGAAGCAATAACATTGCGTCATTATGACTCTTCTTGATACTACAGATACTATTCTGGGCGTCAGAACCTGGAGGATCTTCTCCTGTAAATTGAACAGGTATAAGCTGTCAAACTGACAGCTGGTAAATGCCTGTAAATACAGCCAGGGAGGAGGAGGAGGGCCTGAATGCACTTCCAGTGTCCATAATTGCCTTAAAGAATGGTGGATTAGGTCATAAATGTTCAGTGAGTTGCACACTACAATCACAAATATTTAATTTCTCTGTAAGCTTGAAAGAAAGCTCAGTTTTCTTTAACTAGTTGCCGACCGCAGATAGCCGAATGACGGCTGCACTGCGGCCGGCCAGTTTCTGGGTGGACGTCATATGACGTCCTCCCAGAACGCGCTCTCCTGGGGCGCGCAACCGGCGATCTCCGTGATCGCTGTGTCCTACGGACACAGCTGATCACGTGATGTGGTAAAAGGCCAATCACAGCGGCCTTTTACCACGTGATCAGCGGTGTCCAATGACACGCTGATCACAGGGAAATGCAAGTGCCGGTTCTCGGCTGCACTTTCCTCACGCTGTCAGATCGTGAGGAAAGTACTGCCGAGAACCGGCAGTTGTCAGAGCGAGGATCGGCACCGATCATCAGGGCTCTGATGATCAGTGCCCTGATGATCGGTGCCCAGCAGTGCCACCCGCAAGTTTCCTGTGCCCAGCTGTGCCACCCGCAAGTTCCGCCCACCTGTGCCCAGCAGTGCGCCCACTAGCTCCGCCCACCTGTGCCCAGCAGTGCACCCACCTGTGCCACTCTGCAGTGTCACACACCAGTGCCCAGAAGTGCCACCTACCAGTGCCCAGCAGTGCCAGAAGTGCCACCTACCAGTGCCCAGCAGTGCCACCCACCTGTGCCCCTACCAGTGCCCAACTACCAGTGCTGCCCACCAGTGCAGCCCAGCAGGGCTGCCAATCAGTGCCACCAGTCAGTGCCCAGCGGTTGTGCCAGCAGTGCCCAGTGCCATCTGATCAGTACCTATCATCAGTGTACCTATCATCATCCGTGTCACCTCATTAGTGCTATCAGTGCCGCCTATCCGTGCCACCTCATTAGTACTGCCTATCAGTGCCCATCAGTGCCGTCTCATCAACGCACATCAGTGAAGGAGAAAAATTACCTGTTTGAAAAATTTTATAATAGAAACAAAGAAACTTTTTTTTTTTCAAATTTTTTGCACTTTTTTTTATTTATAGCGCAAAAAGTAAAGCGCCCAGCGGCGATTAAATACCACCAAAAGAAAGCTCTATTTGTGAGAAAAAAAATCAAAATTTCATATGGGTACAGTGTTGCATGACCGCGCAATTGTCAATCAAAGTGCGGCAGCGCTGAAAGCTGAAAATTGGTCTGGTAAATAAGGGGGTATAAGTGCCCGGTAGGCAAGTGGTTAATTGGGAACACCCCACACCCTTTTGACTGTTGATCCTGAAATACCCTCCCTGGAATAGCTAAGAAGTTTTTCAGTCACAAATCCAAATCAAACGTGTCTGGAATAATTGAATCAGATTGTTGGTTCAGAAAGGGTTGAAGTTATACAGCACAATCTTCAAGGAAGTTTATTTCCTAATACGTATCTACTAATCATGTATAGAGGGGCTCTGTATAGTTATTCTGAGGAATATTATGCAGAAGTCAGATTACTGTAAACTGCGTGAACCTTCTGTTTACAGTGCATTTGCTGTGTTTAGTGGAATAATTCACTAACCTAGTGAATGCTTACTCATTGCCTGCAATTAATCTTTATATTAGCCTTTTAAGAGTCAAGGTACTGAAACAAAAATTAGCACTTTATATTCCCTCCAATGTAGGCATTCCTTATTAGTTCCCTGTACGGACACTCAGATCCTTTAACCGAATTTATATGTTACGTTATTAATTTTTTTTTCCCTGTTCATCTATTTTTTATTCTTACAGAAAGCGGCATCGAAATGAAAGCAGCCCAAGTCCACGTCAGTCTCCAAAGCGCCGTAGAGAGCACTCTCCAGAGAGCGATACTTACAATAGTGGTGATGAGAAAAGTAAGAATTTATAGATATTAACAAAATTATTTAATGTTCTCTACAAAACTGATTTTTAACTAATCTATCTTGTTGAATGTATGCTGCTCAAGTGTTTCATACTTAAAGGATAAGCTTACCTTTAGGAACATGTTACAAATTAAACCGGTTTTTATGGTACAACATGTAAGATTTTCCTCTCCACCTCTGACAGCGGGCCGGGAATCTAATCCCCGCTGTCATAATTTAAAAGAGCATGGCTGTGTGGAGCTCTGCCCATACGGTGGCATCATTCATTCACATAGCTCTGTGAATTTAATGCCTGCAAGTAGCATCAGTTGCTTGTAGCTCTCAATGAACTGCGAGGGCACTGGTGAGCATCCTTGTAGTTCATTGATTCTTCTTGGACTGAAGTAACTTCCTGGCCGTATCAGGTATGGGCAAACAGCTACACTGACGGTCTGCAGGAGCCTGACATTGCACCCGCAATCTGCTGGATACATGTGCAATGCTTTCCAGGTTTCTAAGGAAAAAAAAAATATTAAATGCACATTTTTTTTTACCTGCAAAAAAAGTGCATTTATTTATTTTTTAAAGCTGCAGTGAAGTCAAATGCTGCAGCACCTCCAGGCTTGTTACTCATAGATTCTATTTATGGGAAATGTTATGTTCACCTGAAGAAAGTAATGACTTGTTAGACACAGATGTGGCATAACAGACCTAGGTTTTTGAGATTCCTCCAAAGTTGGCAGTAGTTTTTTTCTTTTTTTCATAAAAATAATTTGTAGAAGTTTAACATTATGGCATTCTAACATGTATCAATTTCTACATAATGAACTCTAAATGTCTGTTATTTGTAGGATGCTATTATTCAATGCCTGTGGGTATTATGGTTGTATTTTTTTCCTTTTTTTTTTTCTTATTTTTAGTTGCAGTTGTTTGACTTTGAAAGGTGGGGAAACGAATTTTCTCTTGATGGACACAGCCTCTTTTCGTAATCCTTGACCAAACAGGATTTTATAGCCCCACCTAAGGGATTAGGACACTAGGTGGAAAAAAGACTCCACCCCTCCAATAGCAAGTCCTCTCTGGGCATAAAATCCCCTCTCTGCTATAGGCCTCCAGTCATTTCTGCCTAGTGTATTCAGGAGTATGGACATGTTTTTCTGCTGTGATTTTTAGTCCCACAGCTTTTTTTCTTTTTTATGCTTGAGGTGATTGTAGCCGTATTGGTGCATTTGCGACAAACAATTGAGTACTGTCCGTGATACTTTTTTTATTTGCACGAACATACAATTTTGAAGACAAGCTTTCGGGGAGTGTCCTCTTCAAGGTCCAAGCAGTACTGCTTGGACCTTGAAGAAGGGGACACTCCCCAAAAGCTTGTCCTCAAAATTGTATGTTAGTGCAAATAAAAAAAGTATCACGGACAGTACTCAATTGTTTCTTTTTTTTTATGGAATTTTGGCTTTTTTTTGGGAGATCTTCTATCAATAGTCAGGTTGGGTGACAGGCTGGATAATCTAGATACAGTGGTCACCCTGGTCTGACCAACGAATGCACTCAGATCGATAGCTCAGCGCTCGGTCAGCCACGTCTATGCCCCATTCTGGACCGAGGCGGGCAAGCGACAGCCCCCCACTTCGGTGGAGAGGAGGATCTGTCACGGGAGCCTTACCCGCATGCTCCGCTGGACAAGTAGATGCCCCTCCCTTCCATCTTTGGACACGGTTTGCGGCGCTGGTACTTCTTAGAGTGGTTGGTCGTGCGGTGTCCTCTCCAGGCTACTGCTCACTTGGGGGTTCCTTACAAGGGCATGGGTGATTACAGGTGGGGGGGTGGTGCAGGTTCACGCTGGCTGGTCACGCATGCGGATGCTGACGTGGGGGTTGCTGGGTCCCTCCTTACCTGAAAATCCCCTGAGACTGTCCCTGTCCATCCTGCTGCACAGGTTTTTGGGCCTCTCTGGTATTCCTGGGTTGGGGGAAGCTAGTGCTGCCTGTGGTTATTTGCCTCCTACTAGGTTCTGGAATTCTTCTATGCAATCACTATGTGGCTTCTGGGCCAAAAACGCAATACTTCCCAGGAGCTAGCACCACCACTTGAAAGAGCCAGTGCCATGTAAGCTTTTTAGCTGGCCATGAGGGTAGAAGTCGGACCACCACTGTAATGGGGACATGCTTTCTTTTGAAGTTATTTTAGCAGGGGAACCCTTGTTTAGGAAATCTGTTGATGGGAAGACCGTGGCGGAAATGTATTCATATGCCATTAAAAAAAAAAAAAAAAAAAATCTAAGTCTCCTACCTTTACTCAGTGAAAGTGTTCACCTTGTTCTCTCCAGGCATAAACCTCCACGCCAAGGCTATGTACTTTCTTTCTTCTCAAGTCTTGGGACTACCAATCCTGCACACAGAAGTCCTCTGTACAGTTAAGGAGCACCCCACACCTCAGTGGGGGCACCTGCCCCATATTGGACTTAAAATTTCTGAACAGATATCCGTTTGAAAGACGCAATAACAGATCTTGTGGATTTTCAAACATGTCACAGGGTACTTGGATGATCTGCTAAAGGATTAGTCAGCCATAGCCTTGTAATAAGCCCAAAACCAAAAATGTGTTGTAGCTTACCAGTCATTAGATGTGGTGGCTGTATCAGTTTTTTTTTCTTTGGCTTTTTCCTTGTGTTTTCACCTGGTTATCTTGCCTGTAACACACCTACTGTATTAGAGAGACAGTGCCATGTAGGAATGCCAGCCCTCACACCATTTGGAGTACCTTAGTTTAATCCTGGACACTGTCCAAGCCAGGATTTTCCTTCCTTTAGAAAAGATTACTACTTTTGAGACTCCATACCTTCAGATTTAAAGGCACTTTTAATTAACTTTTACATGACGGTTCACGGCATAATAATCTCCTTAAATGCAGTTACCTTTTGCTCATTTACATTCCAGGTCACTTCAGCTCCACATCATTATGTGATGGAACAAACAGATTCATTCCCCTATCCATCGAGACAAAAATCTCTCTCTAATGGTGGGTTTTTGTCCTGGAGTCAGGAAAATCATTTCTCTATGTACATTAGCGTTTTTTTTAAGCTCCTAGAGGCATTTTTTTTTCTGCTCCCAGAAGCTAAATGGTGTTATCCTACGTGTCCATGAACACTATTTTAGACTAGTAGCATATTTCAAGCGGAGCAGGAAAAAAATTTTTTTTGTAGCTTTTTTTTTTTAGAGCGTTTTTCCAGCAGAAAAAAAGCTCAAAACGCTCCTAACAGCTTTTTTATTTTTCTAGCCTTTTTTTATTCAAACTGTAAAAACACTAATGCTCCTCAATTCTTCTAAACGCTACTAGAACACTCCTAAACCCCCCCCCCCCAAAAAAAAAAGCTGTTGCTAGCGTTTTTTATCCAGTGTTTTTTTAGCTACAAATAAAAAGGCTAGTGTGCATGGAGCCTTAAGGCGGATACAGTGAATGGTGAGGGAGATTACAGCTCAATGACAATCCAAGGGAGACAGTTGAGTCTCCGCATCAACCTTCTGGAACGGAGAGCCACCAAGGTCACAAAGTCAGGTTGCTGTCAGACAATGCCACAGCAGTGGGCTCATTTACTCTTGCTTTGACTTTAACACACATTTAAAGCACCTACAGCTTCAACATGAAGTGTTGTTTGATACTTGTGATACTTCTTTGACGCTTTAATGAAGCTTGGCAAATGCCCTGTGTGTGTTAATTTTCAATTTGTTTTAAAGGGGCCCAGTAGAATCCCAGCTCAGCAGTACCCCCACTCAGCAGTTCTCCAGCTCATTATTACCCTCGTTAAGCAGACACCTTGCTCAACCTTACCCCCAGCTTTGCTGATTCCTTTCTCAGTACCCCCAGCTTTGCTGATTCCCCACTCATTAGTAAACCCCCAGGTCTGTTGATCCCCCCCCCCCACTCAATCATCCTCTGGTTTTCTGATCCTCCTCTATATGGTCCCTGCTTACCTCCTGCAATATTGCTCCCTCGCTGCAGACCACATGCAACATTGCTAATTTCTCCTGCTCTGGTCCCCCATCCACTGGTTTGGGACGTTCCAGTGGTCGAAAATGAGGATGTTTTGTCTGTGAATGAACATAGGGGAACAGGATTTTTTTTTTGTTACTCGCCATAAAATTCCCTTTCTCCGAGTTCATTGACGGACACAACACCCACACCTCTGTTAAGTTTGATACTTCTGACGCTGCTTGTTACAAAACTGGATGCCTTTGGCAGAGAGGGTTTTATACTTGCTAGGACTGCCCATGGTGTTACCGAGTTTGTTTTTCTTCCTAGTGTCCTACTCCTGTAGGTGGCGGTACAACCCTCTGGTTGAGAATAAGAAGATAGTGTTCGTCAGTGAACTTAGAGAAAGGGATTTTATGGTAACAAAATCCCGTGTTTTTTTTTTTTTTTTTTCCTAACATGTTATACTTACCTGCTTTGTGCAGTGGTTTTGTACGGCGGAGTCCCCTGCTGGCTCTTTCTGCCTTCCAAGTACCCCTCTAGCAAGCCACTTGTCAAGAGGGTACTTGAGCAGGCTTGCTTCGATCCCCAGTGCCTACGTCCATAGACACGGGCTTTGCGGAAGCCCCCTCAGTCAAGGCTTTTCTTCAGGGAGATGCTTGTACTAATCCCCGAATTCCACCCCTAGTGTCACCTTGGAATTTCGCGACCTGGTGCACTTTGTACTTTCAAAGACCACTTTTGAGACGATTTTAAGGATCCTTTTGGGAGACCTCACGTGTAAAGTTGCCTTCCTGGTGGCCAATTATATCTGGTATATTTGTAAATAACCTTTTTTGTATTGCAAAGGGATAAGGTGATTTTGAGACAAAAGACCTTCTTTTCTACCCAAGGTGGTCTCTTTACATCTGTTTCCCTTTGTCCTGCTTCAGAATACTTCATGGAAAGTTCCTTACACTGCTTGGTTATGGCAAAGGCTGTCAGGGCCTACCTGGCAGCCTCAGCTTAGGTTTGCAAAATGGTGTCCCATATTGTCCTATCAACAGACCCTCATAGAGGACATCCTGCCTCCTGCTCCAACATTGCCAAGTGGATGAGATAACTTTTTGTTCCAGTGCTTTTGCCCCAGGTTTTACCAGGTGGCTGTTCAGTCCTCAGGCTGATGCGAGCTTCGGCTTCCATAACCTTGTTTTTTGACGGTCTGTAGGTAGTTTTGTTTGCTGTGATGTTCACCGCTCAGTTTACTAGTGTGGGACTTCCCTTGGTCTATAAATACAAACCATATCCTGTTCTGTAAGATTAAGATAATATGGGATAATAGGGAGAGGAGAGATGGAGCAGATCAGTGGGCTAACATATGTTGGACCTTCACACTTAAAATGCTAGTTGTTTTACAATCTTTTGCTTGAAACTAAAGGATTTGTAACTTAAAACATTAACTGCAACTGTTTTTGCTTTCAGATGAAAAACATAGGCTGCTAAGTCAGGTTGTCCGACCCCAAGAGCCTCGTGCGCTAAGCCCTGCACATGTATCGGAAGAAAGACCGGCTCGTTGGAAGGAAGATGAACGCAAGCCTGACCGAAAAGAGGGTTCCAGACGCTATGAGGAGCCAGAAGTTAAAGAGCGAGCATCTGCTTCAGAAAAACAGAGGGAACACTTAGTAGATACTGAAATCTCAAAGACAAAAGACATTGATAACACAGTGCAACATAAGCAAGAAGAAAGAGAGGTTTCTGATAAACTGCATGATGATAAAACTAAGAAGAAAATGCTAAAGAAAACTGTAAAGAAGAAAAAAGATGAAGAAATTGTAGTGGAAAAAAGTGCTACTGAATCTCCACAAGAAGAGGGGAAAGTATTTTCACCGAAGAAGGGTACAAAAAAGAAGAATCTGGAGAAGAAACGAAAGAAGGGTGATTCTGATGTCTCCGATGAAGAACTCACTGTGCAACACAGTAAGAAAAAGAAGGGCCCCAGGACACCACCAGCTATAGTGGCTCCACTTCCTACAGCAGCAGCAGCAGCTTCAAAAGAGGAACTTTCTGAGGTGTTGCCTGAAAAGATGGTGGCTGAACCAACCCAAACCACATTCAGTGACTGGTCAGATGAGGATGTACCTGACAGAGGTGAAGCTTTCATTCCAGATAGAAACACAGAAGAGACAATTAAAAAACCAGTCAAACTCAAAGTGGAGAAAGAAGATTCCAGACCTACAGCTGTGGAGGAGCCTCCTAGTCGTAAGCTTTCTGAACAGAAACGTAGCAGTAGCATATCTAGTAACCAGAGTCGTACCTCCAGCCGCATCCGATCTCCATCTATTGACTCGGTTCACCGCAGTGAAGAAGATCAGGTTGCTAGAAGGAAAATGTTACACGGAGGCTCTAAGGACAGAGACCGAAATAAAAGTAATGAGCCCTCTGGTGAACGCAAGTCTAGAATTGATCAGCTGAAAAGGGGAGAACCTAGTCGCAGCACTTCATCAGGTAGATTCCTTATATTTCTTTATTGTTTAGCTGAACAGTCTAGCATATGTCAGCCAAGCACATCTGATCAGCATTTCAGTATTTCAATTAATTTTATGGTCTTCACTTTTTTTATTTTTATTGTCATAAGGATATTGAAACTTAATTCTGACACGAAAAGGAACGCAAGAGTTGGCTAGTCACTTAATCCAGAACTTTAATTTTGGTCAAAGGAAGTTTCTAGTTAAATTGCCTGCTGGATTCTAATGCCTTTTTTAGGATTCAAACTCCCTGCTGAAGTTCTAAATTTCCCTCCGTCATTGAGACATTCCCTAACGTTACAAGATGCTTGTGAGCGATTCCTTCTGCCTATTCCTGACTGATATACTAGTTCTTGGTGTACTGACCCCTTAATATGTAAATCCTGTACTAAATATGTGTATTTTAAGGAAACATGAGCTTCGAAGTGGTATAGTGCGTACTTTGTTCTCTTATACAAAGTTAACGGACTGTGTTTTCCCAGTAGATTTATTGGAGCTCTTTGGTTCTTGATGAAATGCTTATGATCATTTTCCTTTTGTGAAATATTGAATTGTAAAGCTCTAACTTGTGCATTCCACATACAGGACATGCGATCGGGTTGCAGCCACACATCTCAGCACGGCATTCAGGTGTGTAGTACCTCACTAGGCCACTAGGGAGAGCTTTGCACATGGCGAATAAACTCCACGTGGACCTTGTAGATAATACAAATCTAATACTTTGTTTATAATACCTTAATGTATATATGTGACTAAAATATGTTTACGCAAACAATTTAATATGGATGCCTTAATTGTTAAAATTATGTGCCTCGAAGGAATGGCCAGACTCATGGCAGAAAACCCTTTCAAATATTTAGAATAATGTACCTGCCCTCTGTAGTAAGTGTATTTTAATTACTAACATCTGTATTGACCTTGATCAGAAAAAGGAATATAGTCTGGTCAGCGGCTGTGAATTTTTAGTTTTTAAAAGCTATATGAAGGTACAGTTTTGGTTCTATTACAGCATTTAAGACCTATACAGTCAGACGTAAAGCAGTGTTGTATTTTACACTCAATTTAGCTATGGTTCGACGGGTAATCCAAAAATATAGAAGTTTCTTTTTCATTCATTGACAAAAGTGGGAAGTGTTGACCTTTGGGTTATTCTGCCACCTGCAGGTGGTTTGGACACTGTCAGACAAAAAAAAACTAGCCCCACCCAGCCCAGGATAACCCCTCCTACAACCAGCTTCAGTACATTGCTAGTCTTCTAGGAAAATGGGAATATTTTCTTCAGCTCTTCTGTACAGAAGACAAATCTGCATATTATAGGCTTGTACCTTCAGGTGAGTGGACTCTGGCAAGCTTTTTGTCTTCTAATACAGCAGTAGTAGTGGTGCATCCTCAGTAAAAGCCTTTGATGGGCAAAGCCTGGAACCCTATACAGGGACCAGTGATGACTGATAAATCATGGTCACCCTGTATCCCTTACTGTTAAAACTGGGACTGTTTTTGGAATGTGTTCGCTTCACTTTACTGTGTAAACCTTTTTAATACTTGGTGCTAAAATTCAGGTGTCAGCTAAGTCTTTGATGAATGAGCAGGTGTTGCATCACATGACAGGTTGCACACTTGCTGCCACTTTCACCTAGAGCCCTTTTATAAGGTACTCTGGTGTTTCCTCGCACCCTTTTTCCATAAAGACTTCGATACATACTGCTGTGTACTCCCTTTTAAACAGGCTTACTGCACCCTACTATGGTAATACCTCAGAGGAGTATCCACACCCATAGCAATGATGAAACCAGGGGAAATGGAGCCACAGAAATCCATGTCCAGGGCTTAAAAAAAACAGGCTCCTTCTCCAGCTCAGTGTAAGACTGATATGCCTGGCATAGAAGAGACAGACATGCAAAGGAATGATCCAATATGCTTGCCAGTGTGCATATGCTCACTTCTGCTGTGCGCAAAAGCCTTGGTATTGTCGCATTCCAATCCCCCTGTCTTTCCATGCACCTTTTTGCACAGCGGCATGCTAAGTCAAAAAATATTTTTCTTGTTCTTGAACAAATGAAATTTTCAATTTACGACGATTGGGTCAATGCAGAAAAGATTTTCAATCTTCCAAAATGTATTTGTGTGTTCTGGTAGTAGATCGTGCCATCTATATCCTAAACGTCTCACTGTACCAATTGATGATAGTCCTTCAATTGTCCTTATGTTAATTAAAAAAAACAAACACAAATGGTATAAATACCTGTCCTGTGCAGTGGTTTTGCACAGAGCATCCCCGACCCTCCTTTTCTCAGGTACCTCACTGGTGCTTCTGGCTCCCTCCCTTTCTCCGCACTTGTGCTACTCACTCCCAAGCCCCAATTTGTGTCCATTGATGCCCTTCTCACTGGCTGTGATTGCCTGCAGCTGGAGCCAGTGGCTCCCTCTGTCACCTCTAAACCAATGAGGCAAAAGAGTTCTGCTCTCATGCACATTGCTAGATCGAGATTGGACTCAGGTAAGTATGGGGTGGGGACTGGGTGGGGGGAGAGCTGCATGCAGAAGTATACAGGTGACACTCGAAAAATTAGAATATCATGCAAAAATTCATTTATTTCGGTAATGCAACTTAAAAGGTGAAACTAATATATGAGAGAGACTAATTACATGCAAAGCAAGATAGTTCAAGCCGTGATTTGTCATAATTGTGATGATTATGGCTTACAGCTCATGAAAACCCCAAATCCACAATCACAGAAAATTAGAATATTGTGAAAAGGTGCAATATTCTAGGCTCAAAGTGTCCCACTCTAATTAGCTAATTAAGCCATAACACCTGCAAAGGGTTCCTGAGCCTTTAAATGGTCTCTCAGTCTGGTTCAGTAGGAGTCACAATCATGGGCAAGACTGCTGACCTGACAGTTGTGCAGAAAACCATCATTGACACCCTCCATAAGGAGGAAAAGCCTCAAAAGGTAATTGCAAAAGAAGTTGGATATTCCCAAAGTGCTGTATCAAAGCACATTATTAGAAAGTTATGTGGAAGGGAAAAGTGTGGAAGAAAAAGGTGCACAAGCAGCAGGGATGACCACAGCCTGGAGAGGATTGTCAGGAAACGCCATTCAAAAGTGTTGGACTTTCACAAGGTGTGCACTGAGGTTGGACATGGGCTTCAAATGTTGTATTCCTCTTGTCAAGCCGCTCCTGAACAACAAACAATGTCAGAAGCGTCTTACCTGGGCTAAAGAAAAACAGACCTGGTCTGTTGCTCAGTGGTCCAAAGTCCTCTTTTCTGATGAGAGCAACTTTTGCATCTCATTTGGAAACCAAGGACCAAGAGTATGGAAGAAGAATGGAGAGGCACACTCTGCAAGATGCAGTCCAGTGTGAAGTTTCCACAGTCTGTGTTGATTTGGGGAGCCATGTCATCTGCTGGTGTTGGTCCACTGTGTTCATTAAGTCCAGGGTCAACGCAGCTATCTAGCAGGAGATTTTAGAGCGCTTCATGCTTCCTTCTGCAGACGAGCTTTATGGGGATGCTGACTTCATTTTCCAGCAGGACTTGGCACCTGCCCACACTGCCAAAAGCACCAAAACCTGGCTCAATGACCGTGGGATTACTGTGCTTGATTGGTCAGCAAACTCGCCTGACATGAACCCCATAGAGAATCTATGGGGCATTGCCAAGAGAAAGATGAGACATGAGACCGAACAATACAGAAGAGCTGAAGGCCGCTATTGAAGCATCCTGGTCTTCCATAACACCTCAGCAGTGCCACAGGCTGATAGCTTCCATACCACACCGCATTGAGGCAGTAATTGCTGCAAAAGGGGCCCAAACCAAGTACTGAGTACATATGCATGCTTATACTTTTCAGAGGTCCAATATTGTTCTATGTACAATCCTTGTTTTATTGATTGCATGTAATATTCTAATTTTCTGAGATTGTGGATTTGGGGTTTTCATGAGCTGTAAGCCATAATCGTCACCATTATGACAAATCATGGCTTAAACTATCTTGCTTTGCATGCAATGAGTCTGTCTCATATATTAGTTTCACCTTTTAAGTTGCATTACTGAAATAAATGAACTTTTGCACGATATTCTAATTTTTCGAGTTTCACCTGTAGATTAAAGTAAAAAAAACAAAACTTCTGCCTTTTCAGATCCACATTCATTTAAATATTCTGCAGATAATTAAAGTCTGTCTTTATACTTGCAGGCCCAGATCTGCAACTAGCTGTTGCTGCAATGTCTCTCTGCCCTTGTCTGGTTAGCTGCGGTTTGACAATGAACAACCAACAAAGCAATTGCCTTAGTTGCCTTGTGCTCTGCTTTTGTGTGGCTTCCCTAAAACAAGAAATGACACAAGTGTCCAAATTAACCCTGATTTCCATTTACATGCACAGAATCTTGTGGCTTAGCTGAAGTTACCTGTAAAGATGTCTCATACGTATGCATTTGAAGGAAGGCGTCTCTTTAATGAGTCACGTGACAAAATAATCAGATATCACAGGAGGAAAGGTTGTTCTACAGCCGAAAGTTCAAAAATACCCTTTTGAAGGGTCCTCTATCTCCTCAAAACTCCGGCTTTGAAATTGGAACCTGCTTATGGCATTGAGTTCGGTCCTTCCCTTTGGCTGAAGGCCTGGTCCATAAAACCCACTAATCTTTCCAATGAAGAAATGCTCTCACTTCTAAAAGTAGGTAGAGGTCTGTTACAGTTTGCTTCTCCCTGAGATCTCCCAGACATGGGTTTAGTTAGTGGGTTCAGAGGGGTACACAATTAGGTTCCAAAGTCTACCTCCTTGCAGCTTTCTTCTCTCAGATCAGCCAACATCTGCACAATTACAGTCAGATTTGTAGAATGCTCTGAGACATTTTTTATTCAAGTGAATAAATGTGCCAGTTCCCCTACAGGACAGTTTCAAAGGATTTTATTCAAAATTGTTCTGTACCAAAACCCAACAAGTGTTTTGTCCAATACTGGACTTGAAATTCCAAAATTCTGATCTGTTCCCACAGATCCGGCCATGTCTCACTTTTAATTAGCTGTTCATTATAGAGCTCTGTTCTGTGTCAGGTCCTGTTCTTCACCTGATCTTGGTTACAGCTTTAAAAACATTTTCAAACCATATCTTAATTAAAAATACCTTATTACCGTGGTTTGATCCTCTTC